CTGCTGTAACTGGGGGGGTTAAAACGCACAGAAACTGCTGTAACTGCTGGGGCTAAAACACAGGGAAACTGCTGTAACTTGTGGGGTTAAAACACACGGAAACTGCTGTAACTGTTGGGGCTCAAAAACACCGAATCTCCACTGTAACTGGTGGGGTTCAAATACATAGAAACTGCTGTAACTGGGGGGGTTAAAGCCCCGATATTCGTGTGTGTAAGTGTGTGCAGGGAGGGCTCAGAGCTCGCACAGGCTCTGCTCCCCAGGCCCAGCAGTGGCACAAGAGGCAATGGACAGGAGCTGATGCCCAGAAAGTTCCACCTGAATGTGAGGGAAAGCTTCTTCACTGTGAGGGACCGAGCACTGGGGACTTTACAGGAATCTCCCTCACTGGAGACACTCCAGAGSCAGGGAGGTGGCACCCAATGACCCCTGTGGTCCCTTTTGCTGACCCATTCTGTTCCCCCCTGACAGCAGGGTGTTGGAGCAATGGAGCAATGCAGAGTCCCCAGCAACAGAACACTACAAATCCTTATTTCCTTGGTGACTAATTGTTCAAATGGATTAAAGCACAAGTGAATGGAGTATAAGGTTAAATAACAACTTGGTGGCAGCTGRTAAGATGAAATATAACCTCAAATTACTGTAAGTGATTATAATGCTAAAAAAAGTCCTTGACTGGAGATAAAAATGACATGGCAAAAACCAAAACAGCAGTGTGTTATCAGCACCATTATCATTCTGAATCCAAAACACAGCATTGTACCAGCTACTGAAAAGAAATTAACCCTATCTCAGCTGAAGGACAGTAACCAATCCCCTGTTTCTGTATCCTTCTTTCTTTGCTACCATTTTGTATAAAAGACCCTGCTGGTTTCCTCAAAGGTACACCACCTGTGTTAGATGCCTGACACCTGTTCTGCAGAACGRTAACAAAATCTATTATCTTGGCTCAGTATTGCTTGGCCCTTGTACACTGGATGAAAAAACAATGGAAAACAAAAGGGGTCTCCAGGGAATTGTGCAGTTCAGGTGCTTGGGCAGGTGTGGTCATGGCTCAGGTACGTGGCAGGCAATAAGGAAGTTTCCAGGGTGCTGAACTGGGCACTTCTAAGTAACAATACTGAACACCTTGCACAGAATTTAAGGTTTCACTCAGAGCTTAATTCCCAAACAAAAAAAATCTGGGTAGCTTGCCAGGGACATGCAGTTTAAGTGCTTTTAAGAGCCTGTTCCCCTTGAAGGCTGTTTATAGCCCCAAGCCCAAGGACAGCAGTTAAATGTCAGTTCAGTTTAGAAATCTGCTCTTTGCTTCTTTTTCACAGACATGTGTGGTCTCTCTGTACTTTCTCTGGGTGCCTTGGGCATCATTAGCTGTTCCCCAAGTAAGATGTACACAGCTTGAAAATATGCAGCAATTACTGGCCAACAAAAAAAAAAAAAAAAAAAAAAAAAAAAAAAAAAAAAAAAAAAACAAAAAACAACCCATCTAAGGACCCACTGGATTAGGCATTAATGTGTCCCCACCCCTTGACAAACACCTGCAGTCTGCTGGCCAAAGAAGCATCAAGAAAGCTGTGGGCATCCACTCATCATTCACTGGCTCTGTTGATGTGATTGGAAACTGGCAACTCACGAGAGGTAACTGGGTTTGCTCACTGTAGGATTGTAGAACTTTCCACATTGATATTGTTCCTCTTGAATCCTTGTGCTGCTAATATTCCTTGTCTCTACAACCCTGCCTCTATTTCTAATTTTGCTGTTTTATCTTTCTACAGGCATGGCTCTGTCTCACAGTTTAACAGCTCTCTCAGAAGGCTGGGCCAACCTCATTCAGTTAATCCATGTTATCCAGGCTGGGCTTGCTCTTCAGCTGGTGACTGAGCCCCTCAGGGAGGGAGGTTAGTGACAGCACAGGCTGAGGACCTGCTTTTTGGTGGCTCAGTGTGTTTTGATCATAATTGTGGTATGTATGAGCTGGAATTTACTTGCACCTTTGCCTGAGAAGCTGCAGCCAGCAGCAAAGGAGAAGCTTGGTGACAGAGCTCAGAAGGCACAGCCAGGCTTGCCGGGGTCACTGGGGGTGTCACTGCTTTGTGCCAAGGCCTGAGAGCTGCTGTGTTCTGCTCTGCTTAACAAACCAGTGCTGCTAATGAGCACTTGACAGTTTCATTAAAAATGTGCCAGTTCAAGATATCTGAAGGTTTTTAAAGTAGTGAGAATCTGTTTCTTGCTTAAGCATGTGTAAATCTGATTCTACATATAGAGACGGCAGAAATTTATATAACATCTTTAAGGAGACAGAAATAGGTTTTATTGATGTTAAATACTTGCTCTTCAGTGGTAGCAATATTTGCATATGATATTCTAGCACACATTTGTCTCATCTTGTTATGGGTATCAGTAATCCATTAAAAAAAAGGCAGTTCAGTAGTTTCTAATGACAATTGGTGAGCAGTTCCTGTTCCATCCACAGAGTGGGTGGTGTGGTGAGTTATTTAATTCTCTCAACAAAGCAAATATTTTTTTCCAACAAAAGCTTATTGTCAAATGATAAGGTGTTACAATTTCACCAGGACTTACAGTGGATACATTTTTGTCCACTTAGTTCTCATGGGAGAATGAGCATGGCGTTCTCATTAAAATAGCCAACACCACAAAGATCTGCYAGTTATTAATTATTAATCAGCAAACTAAAAATAAATGCATAAAATAATTTTTCCTCCTCTGCTAATTTTGAAATGGACAAGTGTTCTCGTTCTTCTTGCAAACGAGGCAGTCACACTGATTACAGTAACCTTTTTTAAGAAGTATTTATTGCTTGTGTACACTAATGCCTCTGGTAGTGCTTCTGAGCCCCTGGCATTTCTTAAGGTGCTGTTTCACTGTTTCAGAATTGGATGAGAGGCTAACAGCTTCCTCTGAAATCTCAGAATTTTTGCTGTGTTTTACAATTATTTCAAGCTAAGAAATATTAAAAATACTTGTGTGTACCTTTGACATGACCTTTGTAGTCATACTATCCTCAAAAATTYGCTTGGAGTGGTGCAGTAAAATGTCCTTCATCCCAAACTTGTGAATGATGTATAATTTTTTTTAATTACTGGGAACATACTACTATAGTATGTGGTTTATTTTCTGMAACTTATCGGATAATAAAAACATTCTTGAGTAATGACAGAATTGCAAATGCTATTAACCCAGTTTTTTAAATACCTAATTTAGTTTTATCTTTATAGCTTTATGATAGTTTGTCTCCTTTTACTTCTGCTGAACATWTGACCTGAAAATGTAGTTTGCTCAGTGCCTGACAAGAAAGTGGAATAGTTTTGCTCACCCTTTTCAGTTAAAGTTATCTTAGTTATGGACAGACTCCTTGTAGTGTAATTTTTATGGAAAAGCATCCATCCTCTAGTTACAGTCCCCGCCTTGTTCTACAAAGTCTTTGGGAGAGGCATATTTCCAGCTCAGACAAGTCTTTTCAGAACCAGACTGTGCTCCAGGCCTGGTGTTACATCACAGAGRTGAATGAAATTGGAATCAGGGCTCCTGCCCGTCAGCAGCACTTTGGGAAGTGCTGCCGGGGTGTGAGGTGATCTCGGTGACACATGGCCCTACCTGTGCGGGCTGCAGCGATACACGTGTGATAATTTGTGTTTTTGTTTTGACTACGGAAACGAATGCCAAGCACCACTAATGAGCAAGTGTTTGTGTACACGGTTGGTAAGAGCGCACCTGGGGCACTTGAGAAAGCCTCTGCATACCTCGGTTGCTTTCCTATTGATCCTGCCTGCGAGGGCACGGCAAGGAATTTCTGGGCTGCAGTGAGCTGCAGSTCTGTCCCATTGTCTGCGGGAGCTCGATCCCCCTGCGGGTGCCAGCGGCTCGTTTTCTGGAATGATGATATCATGCTGAGATGGACTAGAGTGGAACTGTCTAATATTTCATAGACTGCGACACAGAAACCTGTCCTTGCTTGGGAAAAGGACACTTTGGTCTAAAGATGTTGCGCTGGCATTAAAAATAGTTACAGGCGCTGTCTCACTGTTTGCTTTTGCAGCAGAGGTCTTTAGAATTCAGAAAAAAAAAAAAAAGATGTAAAGCTTTTCCTCTTTTAGATCATTTTAGGGGTAATCACCTCTTTAAAATTACGAAGTGGTGGTTTACACCCTGAACACCTCAAAAGATGCGGAACATTRTGCGTGTTACTGTAGGTCATGGAATACTCACGGGGGCGTTTAGGGAAGAACGGGAACGGGAATAGGATCGGGATGGGGATGGGGACCGGAATCGGGATGGGGATCGGGGATGGGGATTGGGATGAGGATCGGGATGAGGTTGGGAATGGGGATGAGGATCGGGATCGGGATCGGGATTGGGATCGCAATCGGGAACGGCCGCGGCCGCCGCCCCCCGGCGCCGTTTGAAAGTCACCAAAGTTTCCGACGCGCGTCCCGGCGGCGCTGATTGGCGGAGCGCCCGTTGGCACGTGACCGGCAGCCAATGGGGCGGCGGCAGCGGCCGGGCCGGGAGCGGCGCTGAGGGCGCGGCGGGAGCGCGGTGAGAGCCCGGCACGGCCCGGGGAGCGGCACCGGGGACAGCGGGGACAGCGGGGACAGCGGGGACACAGCACCCGGGATCTGCCCGCCTGCGGCCCCGCGGGAACCGAACCTCCTGCTGCTGCTGGAGCTGCTCGTGCGGGTGCTGGTGGGGCGGGGAGCGGAGCGTGGGAGCCGTGCCCGATGGTTTAGCTCCCGCCCGGTTTCGTGCTCCGCATGGGAATGGGATCCGGGAGCGCTGCCTCGCTGACCCCTTGGTTTGCAGCTGGAAGCATCAAGGTCAGGCGTTTCAGCAGAGAAAAGTGCGGAGTTTCCTTAGGAATCACCGGAAAGTTGAAAGTATCGGAGCTGGACTGGTAGCTGAGAAGAGGAGGGTTTTGCTGAATTCAGCCTTTTGGGAGAGAAGCCCCTGAGAAGCTGGTAACTCTTCTCAGTGCTGGCTGTGGGATTCTATAGTAATCCTGGCGCTCCCGTGACCTCTCCCTTTTCTTTCTCTTTTGTGGTGATTTTCTTTTGTATTGCTTAAACAAAAGAAAATAGCCCCTGTGCTGCAGGAAGACCCTTTCAAGAGGACTCTTTTAAACAAATGTAACTTTCATAGGATGGGAAAGTAATCTTTCAGGAGCAAAGAGGTGGTTTCTTTTGGTTTATATTTAGGAAAAAATGCCTAATAGGAGCTTCATCATCTCTCTCATGGATAATTCAGTAGTATTTGTGGTACTGTTTTGCTTTTTTTGTTACAATATGAATTACTTTGATTTGCACTCTTAGGCATTGCTACAGAGGTAGGCCAGCATTGCTCTGCAAGCTAAATGTTCTTTTGTGAAGAAAAAAATTTCAGTATCAGGGTTGTTTTGARTCCTTTGTTCTAGGACTGAAACAATCTTAAGTTGAGGCCCTCATGAGTTTGGGTGAACTCAGACTCTGATTCCCAAATTGCAGTTCCTTCAATAATTTTGTGTGGCTCTGTTCTTGATACTTGTTTTCTTCCTTAGGCATTTTGCAATTCTGCTCTYACTGGYATGAAATTGTTTCCTACAACATTTRTGCTGCGGTGTTTTTCTCATTGCAAAATTCCAGTCCCCACCCATGATCACTTCCACTTCCTGCATGATGTGGAGGTTTGTAATGCCTGTGACCCGCGTTTGTGCAGCCTGCACGCAGGAAGTCTGGCCAGATGTTTCTTCTGGCTTCATGGGTGTGCAAACAAGCAAGGTGCAGCCCGTATGTGCTTTTACAGACTCTTTCTCTTCTCGTTTCCCCCCTACCACCTTTTCCAATGTTTAACAGAGCATTTATAAAACCTCCTTCACCCGCTTGCTCTCCCCGCTTTTGTAGTGATCCCAGACAATGAGGAGTTCCTAATTAATTTCTCTTCAGGCGTTTTTTATATTGTCTCAAAGTTGTTAAAAACCAAGGGTAGAAGGCAGCAGGGAAAAACCAGTCACGGCCCTACCCTTTCTACCGGTAGTTTAACAAGACTTACATGGTTTTTGCTTGCAGTATTCTTAGACAAATTTCAGGAAAAAAGCTTAAAAAGCTTTAAAACTTTGTCTCAAGCTTGGAATTTTTATTTTCTGTTKAAGTTTGTATTTTTCATGTTTGGTTAGTTTGAAAATCTTTGTGAGCTAAGAGGTAGTGCAGGGAAGGAAGCTAATAGGTCTTCCATGTGTGTTGCAGACAAAAAACATGTGCCTGTGGCACTGGACAGTAGCCCCATCTCTGGAATAAGTACAGGTGCACAGTCCTTCCATGTATTTGCAGTTGAACAATTAATTTTAAATTATGAGTACTATTTAGTAATGGTAACCATGAAGCAGAGCGAGCTGTTAATGGATGACAGCCTCAGTGGGACAATAATTTCATGTTTACAAAGACATACCTGGCAACCAAAGGGCACAGCAACTTTGTGCTGCTGTCAGTGTTCTCAAGGTTCTCTGAAAATCTTACAGATCTATGCATCAGTTAAGGACAGTTCTCCTCTATGTGGCCATACAATYKTAAAAAATCCCAATTAGTACAGTCKTTTAGTTCTTCAAAGTGCAATAGAAAAACACAAGAGCCAGATATGAACATGTTCAAGATTTTGGGGCTGGTGGAAGCTGTCTTTTGATTCCAAAGGGTTGTTTGAAAACTTTTTGAGGCAAGATGTCTTGCACTCCATCTTTATATTTCCTGAACTATTTTTATTGACTGTCTGAACTCAGATATTGGATTTATTATAATGCTTGTGTCAGAAAAAATACTTTTTGGATTTTTTTCTTCACAAGTTTGTTTCAAGGATTGGTATGTATGTACACAGTGCCTTGAGCAGAAGGACATGCTTATTAACATCAAAGGCACTTTCAGTTCCCTTAAAAATAACAGAGTAGACGTGTCATAAACTGTCCTAGGTCAAGAATGTTAATTATGCTTGGTCATGATTTTCTTTTTAATAGGCAAGAGTACTGTTTGGAAAATCACTCCTCCTTACTCACACTCCCTTTGCTCTTTTTTTTTGCCCAGTGCATACTTCAGCCTTGAGATTTTATGCTGGAAATGCGTCAGTACAGTGTACAGTGCTTTTATGTGTTAGAAGGAACACATATTGCTTTGTCTAATGAACATTTTGTGTCAAAATCAATTATAAAAACGAAGGCTTAGTAACTTTTCTCCTCACCTCCAACTCCGCTTCTAAATAATAGTGTCATTTCTTGTGTAGCTGATACTGTGCACTGAGGTATGCGGGCACAGCCCACTTAGCTGTGACGCTGCTTACTCCTTGCTCAATAATCTGATAATTACTTGGGCTGTGAAAAMGACCTGGGCTTCGTGGCATTGCTTGGGTATGTAAGAATTGGCCTTTAGATTGCCAGACTTTGAGTGTTTTGTCTGTAGCAGAGTTAAGAACTGCTTTGGTTTGTCTCAGTAGTTACTAAATAGGTGGCTGTTAATACTGTTTACACCAGATGAGTTTTTGGAGAGGAAAGTCTGGACACAGGTTAAGGATCTTTTTTTCCATTGAGTTCAAYAGATGTGCAGTGGATGTACATTTTCTTTAGCTGTGATGTGCTGCTCCAAGGATGTACTTCAGCATGTTATGAGTATCATGAGTACAAGGCAGGGCTGACATGTACGTGATCTTTGAAGGCTTCAGMTGTCCCTTCTTTGTTCCATTCAGTCACCTCTACAAATTTTTCGCTCAGCAGAACTGAAATTGAAACTTGGTAGAACTGTGTTTCTTCAGTCATTAGATTTCAGTGATATGTTTTTCTGACAACTGCCACTGTCATGAATTGTTCAACTCCACCTCTATTTGCTGTTTTTATCTAATTTGGTTTCTGTTAAATTGATAATCTGAGTGGAATCTTTGCCTCACCCAGGGCTGGACATGGGCAGATCATGCAGAACACTAGGTTTGATGTTTCTCCATTGTCAATACTAACTCATATGAAATGATATTTGCTACTGACCCGTTTAATAGTGTGTCATGCTCATCACAGGGCATTTGTTTAATTGTGGTGTTTAGATACTTAAGTCCTCAAGTGGGAGTGACCAACCTGAGGTTCTTGATTCCCCTGTGGCTCTTCCATGTGTCATCCCCATTTGGGACTATGTCCCGTGACCAGATTTGTGCTGGCACAGGCATGGCTGGATGGTCTGGATTGCTGCAAWCTTATCTGCAAACCTAACCCAGCAGTGGTATTCTGCTAAAACCTCTAGGGATCTTCTACTCTCCCTTCTGCCATGGCTCCCTGAGGTTTGCAGACATATTGTAGTTCTCAGCCATACATGGATTTTGATATTTCTGATTTAAAGTTGGGCAGCTTTGTCTGTGTTGACCTAGGAAGAAATTTTTCACTTGTCCAGGAGTTATGTCCATAAAAAGCTTATAGGTTCATAGAAATGTTAACTCATGAAATCAGTATCTTGAGTATCTAATCCATATCTCTCTGAAGTTTCTCTTTAATTTCACAGTGAGTGTCTTTAGGTGTGTTTGGAGCTGAAGTTGTGCCCAGGATGTCCTTTTCTTGTGTTCTCTGTGTGCATTTGCACAGCTGCAGCTCAGCTTTGGGGGTTTGTGTAGTCCGAGGTGTAGAAGATGCTCATGGCTCTGAATGTGGAGTAAGCCTGAGACAGAGAGAGACCTGGGGAAAGGAACTCGGTGGCTCAGCAGGGATTCTTTCACATTTATGGTCTGTCTGACAGAGTCCTGTCAGGGCTGGCCTTTAGTTGGGTCTCCAGGCAAGCAGTGACTGTGGGGAGGAGGGCTGTTGTGCTCTGCAGCAAGGAGGACTGAGGCTGCTCACTGCCTTGGTTCTTATGCTTGACCCTTTAATTTTTTAGGGAGGAAAATGAAACAGGAGTTTTAAACTTTGAAGACTCATCATGGAAGACTCAGAAGGTCATCACTTCAATTCAGTGGAAGATGAAACCAAGTACTGGAAGGAGTTGGCTATGAAATACAAGCAGTGGTAAGGCAGTGACTTCATTCCTCCAAGTTGTTGGGTAAGGGGAATAAACACTGCATGCAAAGACACAGAGCTTTCATTACTTGCTGGAGGATTGTTTCAATATAATTGTTCAAGAATATAAAACATTTCCTTTTATCTTTCTCTCCGTTTCTCACTTTGTTGCTAATCAATAATAGCTTTGTTCATAGTTCCAAATAAGTAGTTGAATAATAGATTAAATGCACAGATGGCAGTGGACAATTTACCAGCTAAAGACTTGCCACATATCCACACCTAGAGCGTGAAGACAGACTCTGGGATTTTTCTGTTTGTTTGACCTTTTTTTATTTGTTTGCCAGTTTGCTATGGGGTGACTTTCCATGTGTGCCAAGGAGACATTTGGACATGGTTCTCTCTTCCTATTGAATACATATGCTGGAGGAGGGCATATAGCCTTCTATGTTGAAGGACAATATGTTTTCTTACCTTGAGTATACAAGAGATATTTTTTTTTTGCTGTTCATTATGATGAGCTGTGTTGCTGGAATTGCTCTCTAGTGCTGAGAATACCCAGGAGGAGTTGCGTGAATTCCAAGAAGGGAGCCGAGAGTATGAAGCTGAACTGGAGACTCAGCTGCAGCAAACTGAGTCCAGGAACAGAGACCTCCTGTCAGAAAACAACCGGCTGCGGCTGGAGCTGGAGTCAGTGAAGGTAAGAGCTGGTGATGCACACTGGGTCAGCATCCTCAGGGCAGAGCTGAACAGGGCAGGCAGTGTCACCATCAGCATTGCAAAGAAATAGAACAGAAAACTGCAGAAAGTCCTGAAAAAATAAAGAAATGCCAACCTGTTGCTYCTTTAAGGATTCTGTGTTCCTTGGTGGTGTTCCTGGTGGTGTTCACAGGTTGTGGCTGTGTGTCAGGAGAGATTTCACATGGGAGAAAATTGTCCACTGTGGAGTGRAGACTAAGTGTGAGCACAAGAGAGCTGCTGTTCTGTTCCTTCTTCCATCTATTTAGTGCTTTTGTTCATTGCTTTCTTGCTGTCTGCATTATGCAGTCACAGATAATATTGCRGAACAATCAAAGTACAAACACTGCAGCTGTGGTTTTGCATTACGTAAGAAAACTCAGTTTTAAACCCTTTTTACATAGTTGTGTATTTATTATCTGACATTTCAGATAAGCTGGGAAGCAGCAGCTGGTGGGTARCACAGAACTGAGAGTCATAAAACAGTTTCAGTCCTGGTTTTGTTACTCAATCTGTCTGTCCTTAGGGAAAAATGAGTTATCCTCTTTGAACTTGGTTAGCATTCTGTGAAACTAAAAACCAACAGAAAGGCATTATCTTCCAGATAAAATATAAGGATATGAACATAAAGGATATGAACATAAAGGATATGAACATAAAGGATATGAACTTATTGAGAAGGGGCTTCTTGAAAGAGCTTAAGAAACAATGAAACTGTCTAGAGTATGAAGAGTGATGAGTGCCTCATTTCAGTCTTACCAAAGATGCTGCTAGTTGTCTGTGCTGATTGACAGCATTAGGAAATACTGGGAAGTTCTCTTAAGTTTGAAAAAAAATTGGCACTGAAATTGGTGTGACTTTTTAAAGTTTGATTTTAGGCCTTTTGCTTACAGATGAGTTAGATGCACCCAAGAAACACCACRCTGTGCTTTGTAGGGCCAGGTCAATCTCTGTGGAAGCAGAGATTAATGTAATTACACTTCTTCTACTCAATTGGATGCAATAATGAGCTAATGGGAGTGAAGGTATTTGTGTAAGTGATTAATCACTGGGTGAATCCAGGTTTGCAGTGCCTTTTGTTTGAACTGTTGTCCAAATTACTGTCTTAAGGCAAATGTTCTATCCCTCTACTGCCAGCTTAGTCATTCCTCCCACTCCCTGCTTTTTGATAGCAAGATTTGTTTAGTTGTATTTGTTATATTGCATTAATCCTTGTACTTGTTGTAGCCCCTTAGAAATATTAAATGCTGTGCGTGTTGTATGGAGTATTGGTCTGCTGTTCATGTAGCCGCATAAACTCATGGAAGCTGATGGCTTTGGGGAGAAAAGTTTGACAGAAATAAAACCCTTAGTTCACATAATTGAGGTGTAAGTTATTTTCTTTCTCTAGGGTAGCTGGGATGAGAGTAAGGGGCAGTGAACCAGWCAAAGCAGTGAAGAATGAAAATAGTAGGAAACAACACAGAGCTTCAAAAAGTGGAGGATAGCCATATTTTAGAAAAGCTGAAATTATTCTTCACAGTAGATAACTTTCTTAAAATACATTCTGCTTGAAATAAATCATTTAACAATTGACTATTCATGCAGCCTGAACACTGCASTAACAGCCTGCAGTGAAGGAACAGAGCCACCATTGAGGGCCAGATCAGCTGATAGTTTATTACAATTGGCTAAAAACAAAGCCTCAGACCTTGCAGTTCTGGTCTTTTATCTGAATCAATTCAAGAGCAAAGCATTAATCTCGGGAGTTATTGAGCAGCAGTGTTAACTGAGCCCTTCAAGGGTTGGGATCTGCATCTAGGTCAACACCAGTGAACTTTGCCAGGCCCACACAGCTTGTGGCTCTGAGCTCACCAGCCCAGTGTGTGTGCTTGCTCCCCCTCAGAAATCAGAGCTCACACCACCTGAAAACTGATGGSAATAATGCTTTGGAGGGCTAGTTTAGCCAATCCTGAAAAGCTAGCTGAAAGTAATCTGCCTCTTGGAGCTTAGAGGATTTTAGGGATTTGGAATTACAGCAGTRTCACCACACTGTAATCAAATCAGGATTTCTTAGTTCAGGATGGGYATCTGACCCTCTTCTTTGTCTATGCATTACATGTGCTAAAATAGCACACTGTCTTCAGATAATAAATCATTCACACTAGACTACATGCCATGGTTTTCAAATTCCAGTGCATGGGTTTGTTTTCAGTGACATCAAGTGTTTTGTACTTGAATTCTGTCTGGAGAGCACTTCAGGAATGCTGCTTACACAGTAATCTTGGAGTTTAAAAAAAAGCCTCTGGCATGTTGAAGTGCTCTGATAGCAAGGTGGTGAGTATAAAGCATTGTGRTAGCATGCTGTGAAGCTTTGCCTGTCACATGCTGTGGAACTAACTCCACATTTAGTGGCAGTGCAGGAGAGAAGTCTGGTGTGGAAGCTGTGTTTTCCTCCCTGCCTGTGCCTCTCTTTAATTTATCCTTGTAAACATGGTATAGAGGGAGACAGTTTGGTTTAACTTCACATCCAAAGCATAACTGTACCAGAAATTATTTGGGATCTAGAATCCTGCACCTGTTTTGGGCTAATAAAACCACATAGGCAGTGCAGAATCTTGCTGATTCCACAGCACTATCCAAGTGTCACACTTGGATTTTTTTTTTCTTGTTACTTTGGCTTCTGAATACTGCCTGGCTTCATATTMGGGTTGAAAATAAGTGGCTTCTCTTGCATTCTGCTTTATGTATGGGTAAGAAACTGTGCTGAGTCAGGCTGTCTGGAGAGGCCCTGTTTTGTGAGGTTGGAAATGCTCCCCAGCACTTTTGTCTGACAGGGAGTGACAGGAAGAGCTCTTGTCTGCTGTCAGCCCAGAAGTATGTGAGCAATTGAATTTGTTCATGTTTTACCATATGTAAAGTGATGTTTCTCAAAAAACTTGAGAGCATCTTTGGAGGGGCTCAGACAATGCTGCACAATGAGAGCATGTGTTGTTAAGTACCTGATGTGCTGTTTGCTTTGCCTCTGAGTAGGAGAAGATTGAAATGCAGCATTCGGAAGGGTACAGGCAAATCTCTGCACTGGAAGATGACTTGGCACAGACAAGAGCTATTAAAGAGCAGCTTCAGAAATACATTCGAGAACTYGAGCAAGAAAATGATGACTTGGAAAGAGCAAAAAGGTGACCTGCTTTTTGTGTTTTCTCTTTTCCACCTCTGTTCTGTCCTGTGAGCATGGTTTCACTAAGCTGTTTGTGACATTGTGCTCGTTAACACTGCCATTCTGAACTAATCACTTATGTGATGGTTGTGTTGAAGAAATTTGCTGCAGATAGGCAGTGTGATATTTTTTTTTACCTCTTCTGCTCCCCTGACTGCACTTTTTCATATTTYACAAGCTAAAATAAAAAATAATAAKAAACCAAACAAAAATGTAACAGTATCCATTGTTTTGTGAGAGAGGGAGTTCTCCATGTGCTTGAAGGATCTGATAGTGACACATTGTGCACTCTTTTTCAGAGCCACTATAATGTCTCTGGAGGATTTTGAACAGCGTTTAAACCAGGCTATTGAAAGAAATGCTTTTCTGGAGAGTGAGCTGGATGAGAAAGAAAATCTTCTGGAGTCTGTGCAGCGCCTGAAAGATGAAGCTAGAGGTTAGGCAGAAATTATTTGTATCTTTTACTTTCTCTCCTGCTGCTTCCTAGCTGTTCAGTCCTCTCCAAATACCTTTGAGCTTGGCTTTTAAGTTTGCTTCTTTAAAACCTGCTGTCTGAAATGTAGAAGCAAGGGAAGARACTTAAGAATGTCCCACCCCCACTCCTTGAACTCCTGACCTTGTTCCAGAGCACTCACAGAAAYGAAAGTGTGTTCCAGCTTTCTCCTAATCAGGGCCTTAGGGAGTTGAGAGGAGCCAGTCCAGCTGGGGCGTGTGCTGGTGTGGCTTCCTGTAACCCATGAAGGTCAGCTTTAATACACTTTAACCTCTWTTTTCCCTGGCCTGTGAAAAGTGGGGCAATGAAGCACTAATTGGAAAGTAAAACTGGAGTGCTCTGACTGACTTCTGGTTGCCTTGGAATGACTTCTTGCTATCTGTCAGTGAGGCTGGGTGAGGAAGAGACCCTGGAGCTGGATAAAAGTCWGTTTTCAGATCTTGGATTCTTATGGATTGAGTGGTATCCATAAGGTGCAGCCAGACTGTGGGACAGAAGTGCTCTATCCCTTGGCTAGATAATGATGTGGCTTCCACCTGGCCTCAAGTTTCCTCCATGTGGAAGCCAGGATAGAAAAGGGTACAACAGGTAGGATCTCAACCTTGCAGGAGCCAGAATGTAGCCAAGATGTGCCAAGTGGCCAAGCCTCAGGCTTGATGTGCCTCTGCTTGCCAGCCTGTGACATTGGGAAAGGAGTCAATGACATTGGGAAAGGAGTCAATTCCCTGTCTGAAGGGGAGCCTCGTGAGAGGGCTTGAAAATGAAAACCAGATAATAGCAACTGAAGTAACACTGCTAAAACATTTTGAGCCACAATCCTAGAAAGGCCTTGAGTTATTATCTGGATTTTGAAGATGTGCCTGCAGTAATCTTTACAAGCAGAAGTGACTTCACCTCCATGAGAAAGAAAGAAAATCTTTTGAGCAAAAGATTACCTCCTGTTTTTATCTTGGTGGCTGCATACTCCAGCACTTGCTTTGTGTTGCTTYCTTCATAGATCTACGACAAGAGCTTGCAGTGCAGCAGAAACAGGAGAAACCCAAAACACCAATGAGAGCTCCCCTGGAAGCAGAAAGAACAGACACTGCAGTTCAGGCCTCCTTATCTGTGCCCTCAACACCTGCAATGCGTCGCACACCCATCAGCATACCCACCCCGGGGACATTCAGGAGAGGTGACTGCCTGGGAAGCTCACAGATACAATTTGCTGCTCTTGTTTTTACTATACTTTGCTCCCTTCTTTTCATTCCTCCTTTAGCCACAGAGTTTGAGTGTGTAGTGTAGTGTAAATACACCCAAATCCAATCACCAGTCTCCATGTTTATAGACTGTGATTTTTGGAGTTTATTCATAGCCTGTTCATTTCCAATTGGCTTAAACCATCCAGTAATAACAAGTGTGAGTGATAAGATGGGCTGTTGGGACTTTACTGTTAGTTCACAACTATCCCAGAGATGTTGGTCTAATTTAGGGGAAAGGTTTTAAAAACCTGTGTGATCTTTAATTGTGTTACTTGAATCGTCTTGTCTAAGAGAGTAGGGTCAATTAATTTTTTTTTCCCAATGAGTAACATCCTTCTTTAACTGCCCAGCAGGTCTTGAGGACACTTATGGTGCAACTCCTCTCACACCTGCTGCAAGAATATCTGCACTTAATATTGTGGGAGACTTGCTTCGAAAAGTAGGGGTGAGTGATTCCCTGCCAGGCTGCTGCCTGCCATCCTAAAGGCTTCTGAAGAGGTTTGCCTTAAGAGTCCAGTACTTATTTTGAATAAGGTCTGATGTCCTTTTTAGCTGTAGTTTGATAGTTAAGGTAGTGCTGATGCTATGAAAGTTATCCAGTTACTTCTGTTATTCCTTGGTGCTGTGTTGTTGCAAGCATTTGTGTGTCTCTTAGATGGGCTGATGGTACAGCTGAAAAGTGACTCAGTAAAGGTGGAGTGATCTAGAATGGAAGCATGTGATGGAGAGTAGGATATCAGGGGCTCATTCTCAACTAATACATGTCTGGGGAAGCAGATAGCTCAAATGAACGTTTAGTAATTTAAAAAGTGATGCCTGTAAGAAAGATGTAAAAATCTCCCTGAAGAAGCTGAGGATTTTGTATTAATCTGACACTTGTCTCATCTGTTTACTTCAGGCTTTGGAGTCCAAGCTTGCATCTTGCCGAAACTTTGTGTATGACCAATCTCCAAACAGACCCTCCGTGTCCATGTACATGAACAGAGATGTCCTTGAAACACGCCTGAGTCCTCATCAGCCTCTGTGTGATACAGGGTGGGTGCTGGTTTCTGCTGGGGTCTTTGTGACAGCTGTTGGTGTTGGAACTCAGGGACTGGTATTTAGTATTGAGTCTTTGCTTTGGCAGAGACAGATTTTATTTCAAAATATGTGAAATTCAGTTATTCAGGATTATTATTTGAGTGTTTCAGGTCAGTTTAAAATTTGGAATCACTAGCTTCTGAAATTCAGTTTTGAATACCTCAAATTTGAAGCAAGTGCAAGATTTATKGTTTTATTATAAACTAATGTTTAAATGGACAAAGTACAACAGTTCTTGCTTATTAGTTCAATATGTTTTATGCTTTATGTTCTTGTACAAGTTATGTTTCAGGGAATGTCATGGCATGTAGGGAGACTTTCCTTATCATAGTTAAGGTTATCACTTATGGGAGAACTGGAGAAAAGGTGAATAATGGGTCCATTCAGAATGCTTTACAGTTGCTAAGATGTGTTTTTAAGGAGMAGCTGACAGGAAGTTACCTTACTGAACTTACAGATTTCCCTTAATGTTTGAACTAGTTATCTTTCTTTAATCAAATGAAGAAAAATCAGCAAGGTTATCACAAATTGACATTCAGTGTCTGCTTAAACTCTGCCAGTCCTGTACTGTRCATTCTTTAGGTTCTGTATAAGTTWGGTGCCTATAGCACACTTTGTTTCAGGCTTAATTATTCAGCCAGACCCWTGTTGTATGAATACTGGTTTGCCCTGTTACCCAGTGGCAGTGTTGCTGTTTAGAAAGTGTCCCACATTGTACTTGCTGTTCTAGCCTGGGGAGAAACCTGCAGGAAATCCTCAGGGGACATACATTTGCATATTCATGCAGCTGATTATCTATTTACTGCTGCAATGCTAAACTGAAATTCCAACACCTGTAAGAGATAGTGTTCACTACTCAAAAGGAAATGGAGTCCTGTGTTCCAGTGGAAACTCAGCCCAGTTAAGAAATGGACTCATGCAGTGCTCTGAGTGCTGTTCTTGCACCTGCTGGTTTCTCAGCTGTGTTCTGGATATGAGCAGTTATTCTGACGATGGTTACACTGAGCAAGAAATGCACTGACTTCTATTTYGTGTTTGCAGGTTAGCGAAACGCCTGGAGTTTGGAACACGACCTTCAAACATTCCAGGACCCATGAGCCATCCCTCACAAAGTGTTGTCAAGATGCTGCTATGAAATGCCTGGCTGGCTTTGGGAAAGGACAAGAAAATGTGTATTTCAAAGTTTAGTTTTAAAGAGAATATCAATGAGCAAGCAGACAGCAGTGTCAGGGTAGGTGAGAGCTGAGCAAGAAGTCACAATTGACAGTGGCTTCCAGTGTGGCCTCTGGGCAAGTTCTGTGGGTGACAAAGTGTGACAAAGCAATGCTGACTGTGGCAGTGCAGGACTGGGAAATGYTTCCTGCATCAGCTGCTGTAAATAGCTCCTGAAGTTTGCTTCTTTTGACACTGCCAAAGCCATTGTCCTTCTGCCTACAGCACAGCAATATTCCCTATGCAGCTCCTCAGGCTTTGGCTTTTGGTGTTAAAACACCACCAGCTCTGGCTGGAATTCTGCTTTCTACCATGGGTGTTGTGTCCTGCTGTCACCCAAATTAAAGGAATGTTTTTATGTGGAGAAAGGTGTATTTCTGCAGGGAAGCTGCTCAGCTTCTTGTGGGATGTTTGCTGACCAGAATGTTGTTGCACAAAAACCTGCCTCTGTAGTGGCAGGATGTTTCTGTAAGCAATGATTTGTCATTCAGGACAGGTCATGGTTAAAGGTGAGTCATGTCTAGTGCTTAGAGTGCTCAGGAGATCCCAGCAAGGTGGGGGACTTGGAACTGACTTAGCAAGTAGACATATTTTATTTTTCTTTTTTTTTTTTTCTCCCCATAATGGCCTGTAAAGCCTGGTGGTTGTAGAAGGCCASAGACCTGATTAAGATTTAGTTCTAATATCTTGATAGGTGGGGTTTACTGCTTTACAAGCCTCCCTTTATTAAGGTGCCTTGAGTGTTAGTGATTTTCTCTTGTTTTATTTTTCTATGTGAATATATCAGCTGYACTAATTTAGAAATGCTTTTTTAACCTGAAAAGCCCTTTATGCTAGAGAAGTGTATATGAGTAGAGAATTATTTTTACATATATTCCCCCCTCCCATGGAATATTACTGYATTTGTTTTTTTAAATGGAGTAGATTAATTCCCAGTGTTAATGTATTTTATGGAAACCTGTACTTGCAAAAATAATCATGACTAAACCATTTTTATGGGTTTTTTTGTGGCAAGGGATGGGGAAAGATTACTTGACAGAAAAAATACGTAATGGGTTTGATGTTTTTTGTTTGCTTTTTTTTAAAGAAAGTGCTGTGAAAACAGCTACCGATGCATCTATTTCTCTAGAATATGGAAACCACAGATCATTTCCATTTTTCAGTCCACCTATGAAATTGGCTTGACTGGGGAGCAGAATAAAGCTTATTTTGAATGAGAGTTGTTGATGCATTTTGAGGTTTTGTTGCAAGTCATCACTGTGGTTTATACAGATGTTTGCTACCAGTTTCTCATCTGTTTCTTATCAATTATGTTAAAAAATTGTTTGTTTTGATGAATCATATGCAAAGATTTTCCTACATCTTCTTCTCATGATTTCCTAACCTAAGGAATGTGAATATTGTSATAGCTAAAGATGCCTCTGGGATTTAATGCTTGGTATTAGCATTGCTTTCTCAAAATCTTRAACTCAGGATTTTTGTCCTTTTACACTGTTGTGATRGGACAAGGGGCAATGGTTTTAAGAAAAAAGAGGGTCAGTTTAGGTTAGACAAAGGGAGAAGTTTTTTACAGTGAGGTTCCCACACATGCAGTCTCCCAAACTATGTTAACAGCCAGCTCTGGAGCATCTTTACAAAGCTGGGCTCTGTGCCTGATGGAGCCATGAAACAGTCTTATCCAATAGCTCCTAACCCCTCTGCTCAACTTGTCATCTTAATTGCTCTAAATGGATTCTTCCTTTACTCTTTCATGAGCAGAGAGAATTGTCTGGGCTCTCATTCTGCTGCCTAAATGGTGCCAGGTCTCACTCCCCAGTTCGTGATCTCTGCACTGGTAGAACAATGCTTAGATGYGGAAGATGATTGCTTCAGCTGTCAAGGTGGATGTTGGTGCATGGTTTACTCTCCCTGTAGTCACATTGCTCCAGGTTCACTTGCTGTTCAATCAAAGGCATCAAGTAAGCTTTCTGCCCTGGATTTAGAGTGATTTTACATCGTGCTTTGCTTCTGCATGGCTCCCTACTGCCCCGGTGTGACACAGAGCWGCTGCTGTCTCAAAGTGCTTGAGGCTGCAGGGGTTTGTGATGGGTCCTGGTAGCTCCCAGGAGTAGATTGTGGTCTTGTTGGAGTGCCCCAAAATAAAAAGTAACTGCATGCTTATCCCTTAGTGCAGAATAGTTTGGCTTGGATCCCTGCATTCAGTGTGGGCTGCTGTCTCTAGTTGTTTTTAGCCTGCTCTGGAGGCTTTGGTTGGAAATATTTCTGCACGTAGCACACTTGAAGGGTGGGTTCAGTTGCCCACAGACAGACTGGTACAGAGCCCTGCCTGCTTTGCAACTCCTGCAGCTCCTGTGTCTGTCAGGCCTTGGATACATCCCAGGGACCTCAGCTAGCACTGTGTGTCCATGAGGGAATCAAACCTGTCCCATGTACTTATGTCATTTTACTTCCAGCTCAGTGTACAGACTTYTTTTCTATTTCTGTAAAAGCATTGCTCTGGAGAAAATCAGGGTTTTGCTSTAATGATTACAGATGAACTTTTCTAGGAAAAAGTTGCTGTATTTCAGCAAAAAGTATTTCAGTTTTAGAGAAGCTCTGCCACATCCCCCCTTCCCTACAAGTGACACCTGTACACAAGAAAAGTGGAGTCATTTTTATAGCCTTTTATTAGTGTGTAAGCACATCCATGGTGCATATAAAACTGTAACAGTTGACTTAATTTGAACAAATGATATTTTTCAGTAAGTGATTAAAAAAGGCACTTCCACCTTGTGAATTGTGCATCAGGGGTGTAGTAACCAGGAGAAAACCCTATATTAATTGAATACTCAAAACAAAATGAAAGTTTAAGAAAAGATTAACTGACCAATGCCTTTTTTTTCCCTGCAGCAGTCTCACAAATCCTGTGTAGACTATAGTTCWCTGGGATTTAAATCATTTGAGCTATTAGAATTCACTTTCTGCAAGGTTCTCAAAGTGAATTACTCTATTAAAAACCCCACCTTTTCAAACACCTCTCATGGTAAGATAGGTTTTGGAGTACTTTTAGTGTCAATCTATACATTGGAGACAAGGCAGTTGTGCTTTTATCTGTCAGAGGAGTGGGTGTATGTGACCTTGACACTAAGAGTAGACTTATACAGTGCTAAATAATCGTCCTCCCTCCCTTCCCTTGCTGCAGTGCAATTTTTTAAGCGTGTTTATTCACTGGCTTTTGTTCCATTGAAATCTCCATCTCTTGCATCCATTTCGTCATCACCTCCATCTGTTGCATTCTCAATTACTCTTCTGCCTCCAGATCTACGGGGTGGGGCAAAAGATGTTGGCTCATTTCCCCTCCTGCAGTAAGAGGGGAAAAATAGAAAAAAAAGAAAAATCAGGTGTTAGGTCATTTGAGGTCCTCACAAATAAGCAGAGTTTTGTAACAGAACCTGTGGGGCTGATGGTTCTAAGTGCAGAAAGGCAAGAGCTATGGGCATCTAATACCACTTTCTGTTCTGTGACATGTRTGAGTAATTTGTGAACAGGCTCAGGCTCCCATTTGCTTGGAAATGTGATGGGTTTCCTGTTCTTGTGCTTGTATCCTTGTCCTCTGAACAGTCTCATCAGCCCCAAATCATCCCCATTTCCCCCTTCATTTCACTATCCCATAYGGGGATTGTAATTGAAAGGAGTGGAAAAAGGGCTGCTTGTACCACCCCAGCAGAGGAGTGTCCCTGCTCCCCTCTGGGGCACAAGGAGAGCGATTTCTACCCAATCTCTGCCCACCAGTTGCTGAGTGCCCGTGAGGCTGGGCCTGGGGCAGGGCTGGGGATGGCAGCAGGCATTTCTGAGCCCACAGCTCCCCTCTGCACAGGCTGCACTGGCCAGAGCACCACACTGCTGTGACAGGGGTGATATCCAGCTTCTGAGCAACTCCAGTCTCCTTCCCAGCAGAGAGAAGAAACGCTCATTGCTTTGGAACTGTTGTAACCCAGGCAGCTTATGGATGCTTAGCAGTGCAAGTGTCTTGCAGAAAACGCTTTTCMCACCTTACCCCTTTTCCTCTCCCATCTCCCTCCCATTCCCATATATTTCACAGGCAAATCCCAAGGCAGGGACACTTTGGTCCTCGAGGTTAATTTTTTTGGGAGGTGTGAGCAAGTGAGACAGAAGATGGGTTTGTCCCATGGCCYCCATTGCTAATGTGCTACAAAGCATTTCAGTTTTGTGACATGGCCTCTCACTTGCCCCTCATTAAGCAAACCTTTGTAAAGGCTTGAGACCACAGACATAAGCAATAAAATGAATTCATATTCACTGGATATTGTGCCAAAAATACTAATTTGGTGTTAAATAGGTCCGAGACTGCACTTTTGGGTACAGCAATCATGCATAAATATTTAAAGGCTTGTCTTGTCCTTGCAAAAGACTAAGCCAGTGCCTTTCTGAAGCAGCTATTTAAGTCCAAAGTTCAATCTTCCATATGAGGGAAGATGGTAGGAACATTGGCTGGACTAACTTGGKTCAGGGGCATGAATYTGCATTTCCAAGATGGAAATGTGAYGTRTCTGTTTTCCATGATTCTGCCCTTAAACTTCAGTRTGAGCAAGCAATTAGCTGGCTAATAAAGCTTCATGTAATATCTGCTGGTGGTTAACCATGGTTTTTGTTGTGCTGGTTGAACACAGGGCTGTGTCATTTCTACCCTGGTGTGTGCTTGGCAGGGTCTAACAGCAGGGTCTACTATTTTACCATATCAGCAGGTATTTGTCATTGTTGTTTTGCAAGAAAGTTCTAATTAGGTTAAYGAGTTTGTTAATAAAGGAAGAGCTCTCCATCCCCTTGGACTTATGCTGTCCGGACTCAAATTCTCACGAGTCATTTGTGCTGCAGTAATTCACTGAAGTGCTGTAAGAGAACATGGAACTGGGTGGATAACAGCAAGAGCCTCACCAAACTCTGCACTGTAGTTTTGGCTAAAAAGTGAACTCCTTATCACCCACTAACTACTTATTAACCAAATGCATAAACTTTCCAGTTCTTTAAACTGGTATTTGCCCTGTGGTTAAACACTTTTTGTTTATATCTGTTCCTCTTAAGCAAGCTTCTGTGTTTGATAATGTTCATGTAGCCATTGGCATTRGTGCCTTTAGAATAATGTGGGTATGTGGGGCAAGCCCTCAGCATCAGTGTTTGCTTAGCACCTCTRTATTTAATCTGCCTTTGAATGAGTKCTACTGGGGTASTGCTTGAGTAAYAGTCTGACTGGAAGTATTAGGCTGACTAAAAGGCACATGCAAGGACAAGACATYATCTTTAAATATTTGTGTATTTGCAGCTAAATCCAGCATGTATAAAATAGAAGATATACAAATATTACAAGGCAATAGCTCTTTAATTTTTGCGGTGYGGGTATTATTCCTATCTCCAGGGAATGTGCTAATAAGTACAACATAATGCTGTGCTAGGTTACAGTGTCAGCTTTAATTTCTGTGTCCGTGCTCTATRTTTTAATAACAGTAAACAAGCAATGTAATGTCTGTAAAATAGTCTAAAAGCCTCAGTAATAACTCCTTGTAAGCAATACAGGCACAATGTTATGTAATGAAAGGCAAGACTTTCTCTTTTGTCTGTGATTGTGTGGTGTGTGATAAATCACATGCAAGTAAGGTCTTCCCAAATCTCAGGTGAATTAGATGGGCTCTTACCTTAGGTCAGCATTACAGTAGGCACAAGAAATACTGTGAAATTCTAATAACATGCTGTGACACTCCGTATTCATTAGTCCTTTTAATCAATTTTACTAATCAATGGTGTATTTTATTTGAAAAAATTTACTCTTCCTGGCAGTGCACAAAGATGATGTGCAAAAAAAAACAACCTTCATGCAGAAAAAGTCAGAGTACTTGATTAGGCACTCTGTTGGTAGAGCTTGTGAGAGTGCAACGTTGGTCAGTCTAYATCAGTACATAACCTACTTGTAAGAAAGATGTATCACTGATGAACAGCTGATGGTAGCTAGATTATTGTAATATTTGTCTTTTTCAGTAAAACAAATTAATGCCAAGATATCCAAGCCTTCACAGTTTGCAGAAACCTCACACAATTTTAACCAGGGCCAAAGAAAATGGAAATTTGTGCAATACAAGCTAGCTGCAAAGTTGAAGGCATGGTACCTGCTTAGTCATGCGAAGGTTCCTGTGTCCCTCTGAAACAGAGATAACGGGGCAGTTATAC